GGAGCAGAGTTCCCGCTCGGCCTCTTCCGAGCGGCTCAGGCTGAGGGATGAGGCGACGCAGCCCCGCCAGCCCCCGCAACGCCCCGCCGTCTCTCCCGCTGCGGCAGACAGCCGGGGACGGCGGGCGGCCTCCGCTGAGGAAAGGGGCGCAGCAGCAGGCCCCGGGGCCAGGCCCCTCCGTGGCCAGGCAACCTGTTCTCCTGCCTCCCTCGCCTCTCGCTTCCTTCAGCATTTGCTGCAGGCCGGCTGTCAGCAGGTGACACGCTAGCGAGCGGGGCCCGCCATGAACCAAGGCCACCTCACTGCTGCCCGCACCCAAAAGGGGGGCCAAGGGCCTGAGGGGTTGGCCGAGCACCTGCCCAGCCCCATTCCGTGCGTCACAGGGCAGGCCGGGGACGCAGCCCCTGGACGCCACACTCCCAAGGGACAACGCCCCGTGACCTGGGGACACGTCTCCCAGCCCGCCTGCCCTCGGCCAGCGCTCCACTGCCCTGCACCTCCACGTGAGGAGCCCAGAGCTCCCCTGGGTCCCTGCTCTGCTGGGTTCTGAGCAAAACCCAGCACGAGCCCAGCCACCAAGGGACGAAAGCAAGACGCCCAGGGCCTCCAGGTCGTGGGCACCCCCAGCTACCAGGCCGGCTGTCGGGGTGCCAGGAACGAGGCGGAGCCAGCCGGTGCCAGCGGGTGCGGCCATCCCTGTAAGTTGAAGCGCTCCCAGTGTTTGGGTCACTGTCCTGACAGCTCCCCAGCACCCCAGCATTCTCACTGCTCCCGCACCGCCCCAAGCTCCTCACCAACCGGGGCAGCTTGAGCGTCTATTCGTGTCTGAGTCTTTCACTGGTCTGTTTCTTCCCAAGTTACTCTTCTTTTTGTTAAGATTTATTTTATTTACTTATGCAGACAAGAACTGGGGTTCAAGCCAGAGGTGTAGGGAGAGCGACAGAACTTCCCAGAGACAGAGTGGGGAGCAGAACAGGCGGATCCACAGAGGCCCACGGCTGAGGGCGAGCGGGCAGACAGGAGAGGTCTGCTGCGCCCTGGCGTCACCTCCCTGGCCGGGGATCGAACTCACGCTGCAGTGGCTGCAGACAGCTTCACAGTGCTGGGGCCTAAGCCCCTGCGCCACCAGGGAGCCCCCCCACGTTACTCTTAACCATCAAAGCAGAGAAGACTCACCGCCTGGTACCTGGAGCAGCAAGACAGACCAATGAGAGTCACGTCGTTAGTAAAGACGCCCTTGCCTGTGTGTCCTGCCCCTTGTCCACACCCGCTCAGCGGAGACCTGCGGTGAAGGTGCCATCACGCGTCCCAACTCCGGGCCTCAGGCCCCCACGTGACTTCTGACGTTCTTGCACCCTCACTCTCTCATACACACCGGCTCATCTCAACTCACCTCTTACAGTTTTCAATGGGTCTGATTTTTTAAATCAGTCTCAGACTCACAGAAAAACGGAGCAGAAAGCACGGGGGGACCGGCCTCCCCGCCCCCAAGCTCAGCACTAGCACCCTCTCGCATAGGGCCACGCTTCTGGCGAATCACGATGCGACGGTATCATCACCTAGGGCACGGCTCCCGCTTGGGGCCACCGTGCTGTACCCCCTGCGAGCCTCAGCACAGCCGCATGCGCTCTTCACCGCAACGCCTAACGAAATCTCTCACCACCCTAAAATCTCCCCGCGCGTCGCCCCTGCACTCCCGCCCCAGCCCCCCTCCAAGCGCCGGCGGCCACTGGCCTTCGCCATCTTCGTGGGGCTCAGACAGTACGTGGCCGTCTCGGACTGGCTTCCCTAAATAATGAAAAGGAGGAATTTTATATAACCACCGCAAAATGCTATTCAGATTCATTTCGAATGAATAAAAAGGAACCATAGGGACTCAGTATAAGTGGAAGAGTAGAGACATCTGAAACTTCTCGGTGCCCTAGAAGTTAAGACAAGACTGGCAAAAACGCCAGCGTTGACTTTCAGAACTCTATAGAAATTAATCAGCGACTTAAAGCCACCTAGAGTGTATGAATCCAAGAAAAACGACGGAAGCCCAGTGCGAATACGAAGTCTCGGCGCTGACCGACCGGCGGTTCCCATCCCCTCCTTCCAGCTCAGTTAGCCTTCGAACACAACACCCGCAGCCGCAGCGGGACGCAGCGCCCTCCGCTGGCGCCAAAGCCAGAGGGCGGCTGGGCTCCGTCAAGACCCCACTGCCAGAGAACAGCCTGCCTGGCGGCCCCTGGAGGGCTCTGCCTGCCAGGCCTGCTTTATCTGACCTCAGACCTTGTCACTACATAAAGCCCAGGCATTGCCCCAAACTGATTCGAAATAACCGACTAGCTTCGCCCTGCCCGAGTGTTGAAGCTGTGCCCCACCAAAGTCATGTGGCGTGCTTGTCCCCAGCACTAGGGACATCTCCACCCAAGCGCTGGCTCACCAGCCGGATGACCGAGCAGAGACGCCGGCGGCCACACAGGGCCAACAGGGCATACAGGATAGTGGTGGGTTGAGAGGCAAAATGCACGAGCATGTCAGGTGCAGAAAAAGCACCTGCCAAAGTCACGGCAGCTTCCCCTCACCGCTGGCCACACTGTTCAACATCCTACTGGACGTTCTCCCCATGCGATTAGGCAAGAAAAGGAAATTAGAGACATCAAGAGGAATAGGAAGAGGTGGAGCCTCTGCTTAAATATGACATGACAGAAAGTCCCAGGGATCCCACAGACTGACCCTTAGAGCCAACACGCTCAGAAAGACTGCAGGGTACAAGATAACACAAGAACAGGCTGTCGCTCTACAAAGGAACACTCCAAGATGAGGTAAGAAAGTGAGTCCGTCTATACAATAAAGTACTTTGGGATACATTTAACAAAAGAAGACAGGACATGTACAGTGGAAACTAGAAAACGTGGCTGAAAGAAATCAAAGAGGACCGAAATGGGCAATGTGCCGAGTCCAGGATTCAGAAAACAGTGCTGTTAAAAGGACAAACTGGGCCCTCCCTGGTGGTGCAGCGGGTTAAAGCACAGCACTGAGAATCTAAAAGCCGCTTCCACATGAGTTCGATCCCCGCCTGCCCCGGAGGTGACCACAGGGCGCGGCAGACCTCTCCTGACCCGCCCGCTGCTCCCCTCAGCAGTGTACTTCATAGATCTGCCTGTTCTGCTCCCCACTCTGTCTCTGGTGAAGCCTCTCACCACCCCTGAGCCTCTGGCCTATACCCCTGTTCTGTGTGCACAAATAAATAAATCTTTAAAAAAAAAGGACAAGCTGATCTACTGACTCAACATCTGGCCTTGGTTGGGAAATGGTTGATTGGATGTAACAGCTGAAGCAGAAACAACCAAAAAATAGATACATTGTACTTCATCAAAAGTGATGAAACAGGGCCCTTCCTGGTGGCGCAGCAGGTTAAAGCACTGCACTAAGAAACTTCAGCCACTTTCGCATGAGTTCAGTCCCTGGCTGCCCCGGAGGAGATCCACATGGCGAGGCAGACCTCTCCTGACCCGCCCGCTGCTCCCCTCAGCAGTGTACTTCATCAATCTGCCTGTTCTGCTCCCCACTCTGTCCCTGGTGAATCCTCTCACCCTCCGCATCTCTGGCCTGTACCCCAGTTCTGTATGAATAAATAAATAAATCTTTAAAAAAAAAAAAGTGATGAAACATTAATGTTGCAGCAGACGCCATCAAAAATGAGGGGAAAAAAATCCTACCGAATGTGAGAAAATATCTGCAATCCACATGTCTGACAAGGGTCTTGGATGGGGACTATCCTTGTCACTCAATGGTGAAGAAAACTGATTAAAAGCCGGGTCTGCACAGACAAATCTCCAGGGAGGTCATACAGACAACCAAAACGCGTGGGGAGGTGGTCAGCAGCTCTCGGCGCCAGGGAGAGGCAAAGCCACCCAGCTCTGGGCTATTCCATACACAGCAGGGCTGTCTCAGCCTGAGGATCAGAGTGGGTGAGGAGAGGAGAAAGTGTGCCCTTCTCACCACTAGTAAAAAAGTGAAATTAAAGCAGCGGGGTCCCTTGGGAAACAATTTGTTAAGCAACCAGGTCACCCACTCTTAGCTGCATTTCAGAGACCTGCAATAGAGGCCAACACAGCTGCTGCACACACACACCCATGGGAAGGGTAGGAACAAGTCGCACGCCACCCCTGGTGATGACGCACAAGGGTCACGTGCCTCTATGGGGGGGAGGCAGCTGCATAAGGAACAAGTCACTGATGTGTCAAACCGCATGGCTGAGCCTTGGAACTTGTAGAGAGAACAAGGCAGATGCGAAAGACCATAGAGCACAGAAATTATTTACACGCCCTGCTCTAGAAAGCAGACTCTTGACAGCCTGGCATTGTCAGGGGCTGGGAGAGGTGGAGGGCGGGGAGTGGAGGTTGTGGAGAAGTTCTGGAACACCGCGGTGGCTGCACAATCTTACGGATTTGCTGGACACCACCCAGGTGCGGACTTTCAAGGGCGAATTTTATATATGCAGCCAAACAAGGAAATACCACGACAAGGAAATGGCCCATAAACTTTTTTTTTTTCAAAGTGTCAGTTTACAAACAGAATGTTTTACTGAAAGTGTTTATCAGTGAGGAGGATGTTTATCAATGACACAATGATATCTTTTGCCCAATCACTAGCCGAAGGATATTTGCTCGGTTCAGAAACTGAGCAAAAAGTCAAGAAAAAGGCAAAAACATGCAACAGACCACAGACCTGAGGCATCGAGCAGGGCAGGGTGGGCAGAGCAGAGGGCCCGTGGGTGGGTCTCGGGCTCCGGGGGCGGGAGGACGACGGGACCCACCGCGGGGAGAGGCCGAGCACTGGGCTCCCTGGGGCAGCAGGTGAAAGCGCGGGGCTGCAGGCGGCCGCAGCTGCTCAGGGCGGGTCGATCCGGCCAGGGAGGGACCCCCGGGGGGACAGGGAAGAGACTCCACCAACACTCTGCCAAGTGTCTCCCTTGGGACAGGGCAGCTGGCCCAGGCTCCGCCCGGCCCCCAGGCCTCTGTCCTGCAGTAATCCTCCTCCAGCTCCCTGGCCTCCCTGAGAGACAAGCCCAGGCCCCCGGCTGAAGATGGGATCCCAGTGGCACGCCCTGCGCCCACGGGGCATCTGGTGTTCTCCCGGCTGGTCACAGCCCGCTGGTGGCGGGAGAGAGGTGGCAGGGCCAGGTGTGCAGCCTGGGCCGAGACAGCTAGGCAAGAGAGGGAACAAAGAGCGCCAGCAGCAGAGGAAGACTCACGTCTGGTTTTCCTCTAACTGGTAAGCAGGAAATCCTGGCCACGTTCCCTCCAAACAGCCAGACACCAGCCTCTGGCAAGTTCAAAAGGTCCAAGGAGAAAACCCGAGGACCCACAAGCACGCACGAAGTGACAAAAAGACGCGTTCGTGAAGGGAGCAGAAGGCGGGCAGCGTCTAGGACCAAAAACAAGACTCTGTGGAAACCAGCGAAGACCAGGTAAATGGACATGACGCTCGTGGGCGGAAGGGCTACACAGTGCTGAGCTTCTCGCGTCCGCCAAGCGAGCAGTGAGCCACGCAGTCCTCGTCGCAGCCCGCACGCTCCCTGGGGAAACGGCAGGTGGATGCAAGTCTCACCCGGGAATACGAAGGACCCGGAACAACCGAACCAGCTTCAAAGGCCAGAAAACGTTCGTCGTCCACACCTGCCGCCTTCCCGACTGCCAGAGTCGTGTTCAAGTCAGGGTGGCCGTGGCACCGGCCTCACAGGCCACCAGGGCATGCTCAGGGCACATCTCTGTGCGGACACCAACCGACTTTCCAGAGGGTGCCAGGGCTGCCGACGCCCACTGGCCTCTCCTACCACAGACTGCTGCGGACACAGGCGAGTGAGACGGACGAAACCTTCGGCCTCGCCGCTTCAAGCACTGACCCGCAGCACGCAGGAAGGCTCCTGGGCCGAGGTCCTGGCTGCCACGTCTTAGCCGCAACTAGGGGTCATCGACACCCCAGATTCTGTTCGGCTTTGCCACAGTGCGATCATCTGAAAGCAGTACCCCCTTCCCCAGGCTGCCCGAGACTCCCTCGGCTGTGCGTACCTCCTAGAAGCAGGTCAGCTCCCAGAAGTGGGGGTTAGCCCGGGCGGCACGGTGCCCCAGTGCCTCCACCGAGCTGTGGCAGGTGCAGGGGCTCCCAGAGCCCCCAGCACCAGCGTCCTCCTCCCTGCCCCCGTGACTGTTCCGACCCCGCGGTCCCCCCCAGACCCTGCATCACTCTGTTCTCTGGTCGCCCTTCCCCGCCTCTCCCTTGGTACCCCTCCACGAACTTCTGGGGTTCACCAAATGACTGACTGCACCCGAAGTCTGTCCCAGGTTCCTTCAAGGGGAACCCCAACTAAGACACATGCCTCACTGGCACGGAGGGTATGGGTGTCCACAGGTTCCAAGGTGACGGAGCCTGGGCGGAACCGAGCCGTGGCCAGCTGGGGCCGGC